GAATTATGGTATTTAGCTAGGGGCTACTACCAGCATTACTTCATATAACTAATTTGTAAAAGAATGGCAGACACAGTAACTGTAAAACATTCCTTTTGTATCGCGTTCCCTCAACATACATTCCAGCACTGAATATTGCAGCTGGGGATCAACATTTCAGAGCGACAGTAGGCGATTCACCACAATCAGATCTTGTCAAGTGAGCATACACTACAGGCCCTTCATCTGAACCTGTGTAGCTGGTTAAGAGGGTTGTCAGTTTCAAGGCAGTTCCATTCCCAATTGCAGTGGCACCACATGTTTCATTTCTAGCTCCTTGGTGAGAGTGTCTCCTCCCACTAAATGTGAATTCTTGAGGTAGTCTAATTCTACACTTCTCTTTACAGCAAGTGAGAAGCAGATGATGGTGGTGTGCAAGGAGTCCCCCAAGGAGTATCTTCAGCCTTTCAAGGATAAGCTGGAGGAGTTCTTCCAGAAAGGTAGGAGGCTTTGTCAGCCATACATACAAGATCTTTTGCTGAGGGCCACTGCCATTTCTATCCCACCACCAGCCCCAGTGATTCCTTTAGTCAATCTTCCCAGGGTGGTTACACTCTCAGCGTAGATGGAATGTTCTTATAGCTTTTGTGTCACCTTTCAATATTGTTTAATGTTTTAAATCCTTTATTGTTATTGTTATTTTTGTAAATTTTTTGAGAGCAAAGATTTTTTGTCTCTCCATGGAGATCAAGGGTATCCTCAGTACATGTTAACTGACAAGCAACTCACTTGCAAGGTTTACATAGTCATGCATCTCAGGTTTGTGGCCAGCTGTCACAAGTGAGTGGTAATTATCTTCCTGGTTTAAGAGTATAGCAACTTGGAAACTAGTGTTGTATTTTCATTGCTTTTCAAAGGGGGAGGCTGAGGCCCAGTGAATGTGATATATCCAATCACTTGGCACTCTTTGACCCTTGGGTTGTAGTAGATGGAAGCAATAAGCAGGAGGCAACAACACATACTAAGAAATCTTAGCAGGTTCTGTTCCTTCCTCCACAGCTTTGTTAGGCTTAGGGAGCTTTTGTTGACCAAAGTCCAGGAACATGAATTTAGGTATTTCTTATTTTAATTTCTCAATTTCAACTTAAGATGTGAAAGAAATATAAGTGTGGAATGTTTGGTTGGAGCATTTTCTTTACTCGAAAGCCAGAGGAAATGCACATAGGAAACTTTGGGGATATCTCAACATGCTGTTTCTATTATTGCATAAGGCCACATGATACCACACCATCAACAAAAGACTCTTAGGCAGAGTGAATTCACAAAGTATGGCCAAACCACTTTGGGAATTGGCAGGGAAATTCTCAGCCCATGAGTCAGAAGAACTCCATCCCAGATGCTCCCTTTGTGCATAGATCGATCATTGCTCCCTCCTCTGTAATGAGGGATTATTTTGTTGAAGCGGAAATCAGAGTTGGCCACTGCTAAATGTTATATGTGATGGGGTGGGGGGGGTATTGTGATAAGGCTCAGTACTATACTGAGAGCATACCATGATACAACATATGGGCTGTGTGACTTTAAGTGTTTTTGTATGTGACTTATTAAAGGAAATGCATTGCTTTATAATTTTACCAGGTAAATTTAACCTAAATGGCCTTAAGAAAAGCATGAAATGTTTCCCTTTGCTGACCACTTCATAATGTCTGTTCAATATATGTAGAATTAACTTGAAATGAGGCTTATGTGTACTTGGATTCCATTCTTATTTTTAACTGCTATTATTGCCTATCTGGAAAATTCTACAATGTGTATATTGGGGTTTTTATCTGCCTGTATGCTTTAATGACCTTAGAGTCCCTCCTCTTCAAACCAGCTCACATCTTAAAACACTTATTTTGTAAATTGTATTCTTTTGTTGAAAGGGATGAATATGAATAGATGTAGAATCTTGATTCTGCTAAGTTTTTCAAGAAACTTCTGATCAGGGAAACAAGGGCTGTTCTAAGAAAGCCTGAGAGCCATGTTCTTAATGCTACTGTGCACTAAAGTCAGGGATAGATTTAAAAAAAAAAAAATTAGATACCCAGAACAAACCAGATCTACCATCAGCATCTCCATGGGTGAGACCGATGTTTTTATTCACCAAGTGATTCCAATGTGGATCTCAAATTGAGAACCACCATTGTCAACCTTAGTTCATTTTTAATGTATATTCAAAGATAAACATGCAGAGCCTCCCATATGCAAGGCCCTGGGAATACTAAGGTCAATTATTCTCCTTGATCCTGTCCCAAGTACTGTCTTATTATGAGAAGATCTATCATTGAACACAATCAGTCCACCTTGGAAATAGCCTGTCAGTATGACCTTATTAACTGAATATGTAGAAACAGCAGTCTGGAATCAGAATGTCTGATAGGGCAGACACTAACCACATGTGGCTGTTGTGCAATTTAAATGTGCCTAATCCAAGGACCAGATTTATAAAAATCATGTAAAAATATTTCATTTCTGTTTTTTTATATATTGATTGCATGGTAAAGTGATAATGGTTTGGGATATATTAGATTAAATAAAATGTGTTGCTGAAGTTAATTTCTCTGTTTTAAGTGTAGCTACTAGAAAAATGCAAAACTCTGTTGTGATTTATATAATATTTCTATGGGAAAGTGCATAAACATGGTCCCTGGGCCTTCCTTCTCTCATTCCTGCACTCTCCTCTTCATATTCTTTCTGTGCCTTCTCAACCTCATTACTAAGGTGCAGAGTCTCACAGACTAGCCCCATGCTCACTTTCAAGCTGGGTCCAGCCATTGTTTGGTGGCCAATTAGAACTACTTTGGCAAGGGCATGCTGCCACTTCAGACCATTCCTCTGCAGTTAAGAAATACATAATTGATAGCATTGTGATACAGTTAAGGGGCTAGGATTTTGCCAAGTTGCAGTACACACAAATAGAATTTCTCTTGGGTACTATTTGGAGTACCAAATAGTAGTTCCTTTTTAATGTGTGTTTTCCAGTGATTCATAGAAATTGTAGAATTCTCTACCTACCACAAATATGCATTATTCTCCCTCGATAATCAAAGTTTTATGACAGTTTAAGTGTAGTATTCCATCTAAGGCCCCATTCATTATAAGCAACACCATTATTGCATCTCCTACCAAGGAAGAAAGATTGTTGCCAATTAAGCCAGGATGTGAAGATTATGAGATGTACCCCAACATCAGAAATGCTGAAAGGTGAAAATCCCATGCTTTGTGGAGTTGAAGTGACACTATTATTAGGCACGTAAAATCAGAAAGTAAAAATGACCCATGCTTCCAGGGTATGTCAGGAAAGACTTTCAGCAAAGGAAACACTCTGTTCAAACTTAAAGAAGATGGTGATAGTGATGACAATGACAGTATTCACCGAGTGTGACTATATGCTAGATCCCGTGGGGGAGCAGATCACCTTCTCACATCATCCTCTTCCCTCTGGTAAGCACCAGTAACACCCTGTTTATAGATGAGGACATTTAGGGTTAGGAATTCTCAGCAAACAGTTATAAAGGACATTCCAGACAGAGAAAAACACTGCAGATCTCAGAAGGATGCAAGACCCTATATATATGGGGAATGGTGTGGCCAGGTCACAGGGCAGGTAGGGAACACTCATGACCAAAAAGGAGCAGAGAGTGACAATAAGACTTGATAAAGAATCTCCATTTTGTGTATTGCAAGGCAATAGATAATATTGAAAAATAGTACCTATGGGAATGACACATTCATGTTGAGTTTTTGTTTTGTTTTGGTGTCAGAGGGGCTTAGGGAGCATGTCACTTTGCTTTTTGTTGTTAAGAAATGTATTCTAATTAACATTCCAAAAGCATTAGAAGAGTAAGTGAAAAAGGATGGGCATAAAAATAAGGAAGAAGGACATGGTTAATAGTAACAGGCTGTGTTGAGTGTTGTCAAATATAAAATGAAATGATAGACAACCGTACTCCCTTTTTTGCTTTGAGTAACTGGATATTGACGAACAAGACTGGATTTGGGATAGAAGACAGTGAGGGAAACTGGACATGTTGACTTTGACGCAGTGTGAGACACATAGGTCAAGGTGCTGGGTTCATAGGAGAGAGCTGGATGAGAATTTAGAGGTAGCTGTTTCAGTCAAAAGAATGAATGAGAAGGCCCAAAGAAAGGATATAGAATGAGAAGGCTCCTAAAGTTTCAGTGTATTTGAGCACAGAGTATCAAAATAGAACGATCCTTGAGAAAAGACACTTCTATATTTCTATAGTAGAGCTTATACAAATTATTTGGCAAGAAATTAATTTTCTTTTTAGGGTCTGCCCAACTCATCAAGTCTTAAGCAATTGCGTTCTTCATGCCTGAGAAGTCACATGCGTTGTGACTCAGTTGATTCATGATTAGGATTATTTTTACATAAGCTGCAATTCAGTTCTCTAACAATCATGATGATTTTAATTTTTCTTTTGTAAATCATATCCTGTTGCCACACTCAAGTGGGGATGATGTGTTTGTCCTTACTGTCTTTTATAATTCCTCCCTTCTCAAAATGCCCTTAAATAGTGATGACAAAATCATGGTACTTATTCTTAACTGATTTCATTTCCTGAGTAGAATTAGTAATTTTAATGGCACCTCTTTTTTAGGGTTGCAAGCTCCATGGTATCTAAACCTTTCGCCATACATGGGTTTGTTTGTTTTTTTCCTTCCCCACAGTAGGCTCTTGTCGATACCAATTTACAGCTCAGTTCAGAGCATATTGTATAGGCATTTTTTTTTAAGCTCATGCATTCCCACCCTTAGATCAAACATGGCCATAATGATATGGCCTTCAAAAATGTGATGCTCAAATTAAAAGTCCCATAAACATGGCAGGGATCCTATAATTGAAGGAAGGTGCAGAGCAACTGGTCGGATCCCAGGTATAGATCTTGTAGGTGGTCTTTTCATGCTGTTAAATTGGCCATTTGTATTTATAGCATTGGCAGGGAGGCTGGAACCTAAGCAGTCTCTATGGTGGTGCTTTCTCACGCGTGGTCTTATCTAATTTTTCATTAATTTTACCTGCTGTTGATGAATGGTGCCAAATTTAAAATGAATCTGAATGAATCCTTCTGGGCCTTACTTTCTGAAACTGTCTGTCCTTTAAAGTACTTTGACCAGCTGAGATTATAGATATTCTCAATGTCAAGAAACTATTTTCTACCAATAGTAAAAACTAGATGACTTTATTGAGCTAAAAACAAACAGAAAACAGTAAATATGTTTTCCCACATTGAGTGCAAAAATAATTAGAGTATACGAATGGCCAAATACTCTATGACAGCTGGGGACTGTGTATATCTGGCCCTGTTTACTTTCTTGTCCCAACATAATGTAGGCTCAGCCTGGCTCATAATTGATGGTAAACAATTATTTATTGAATTATTAACCAACAGTCTGAATTATGTCAAGTATCTGCAGGTTATGTGTTTTTTTC